AGAAAATTTAAATCTTAATTAGTGTTTATTATCAATTTAATATACTGTGATGTAATTTCTCAAAAGAGTTCTCCAATGCATCCTAATTGAAGTTTTACAACAATAAATAACTTATATCCTTGGAATTTAAATATTTCAATATTACTCGGAAAACCTATAGTAATTTATTCCATAAATGGTGATGTGGCGTGGCAGTTAATGCTGCTCTATTAAGTTTTCCTTTTTGAACTTCACTGAAGCTGCCATTTACACTATCACACAGGTCATCAAATAAAACTGACAAGTTATGGTTTCAATGCTCTCCTTAGGTAATTTTCCACATTCTGTAATGAAAAGAAATATAATTTAATTATTTTTTTATCAATAATACAATAATAACATTCAGGGACATTCTTTACACATGGTCATCTGATACCAAACTGAGCAGAGCTTTTACTAATGGTAAGCTGATTACTGACATACATGATTAAGTATAACATATACTGTTATAATACATACATGTATATATTTACAACCAATTCAGAAAAAGTAACATTTTCAAGCACACAAATGTTTGTCCTGGGTGGGAATCTAAGTGACAAACAGCGGTGTAGTAGTCTGGGTCCCGTAAACCAACATGCCCGTCAATTATAATATTGTTTACTCAATCACACTACAACAGTATTATACCGTACATGAGATTCATTCAATTTGTAACATTAACATACAAGTTTGCATACCTGCTACGAATTCAAGCGCCACACCACGACTTACTCAAGACTCAAGACCTGCGGCGTGCTGTGTTTCACTTCACTCTCACAAAATTAACGAACGGTATCACAATTTATAATAAAATTGTGCAGTGTGCACGATTCGAAATATTAAAAAAATATCAGTGAACAACAATAATTGTCATTAATTTTTCAGGTGATGCTGCCATATCAAACAGAGCAACCACCCCGCATTTAAAACGTTTTATTAACAAAAGTTGCCTAAATTTGCTTTAAAATAAGAAATGAAGTAGATGAAAATAAATATTTATTTAAATATCTCTTTTTTTGTTCTTTGTATCTCAAAAACATTATTATATATTAATTTAATGTGTAAAATCTACATAGGATTTATTACTATATTTTATAGTGGCAGCACTATGTATTTTAGTATTTCATTTGTCTTCCAGATGGCGATGTTCCGAAATTTTCTTGAAGTAGTTCTAAGTTGCCATAGCATGAGTTCAACTACCCCCATAATTTGTTATTGAACGCATGCGTGATGCGTGACTAGGCGTAAGTCGCTATTGTTTGCCATAGATTCTACGGCGTAGAATAACTTTATTATTATAATTTTTGCATAAGTGCTATGCTCTCACTTTCACGTCTGTCAAGTAGCGATGGGCGTTGAATCAACGAACTAGTTGAATCAACCGTTGATCTCTTGTTAACGAATTAACTTTAACTGTCGTTGAAATCAACTAGTTGAATTCGTTAACGTCGTTTCGGAAATTTTGTCGTTGAATGAATTCGTTTAAAAACGCAGTCAACGATACGTTAAGTTAACGGAATATAAATTGAAAACCTTACGTTGAAAAAAACGTCACAGAGTTGAGTTGAAATGTTTGTTTAATTTTATGAAGGACATGTTTAAGTTCGCTTTCTTTATTTTTGTTTGATAGTTTGTGAATAATTGCGCGCAAGGTTATAGAATATTTTGCGGCTTTGCGCAAATATTATCAGAACTTTACTTCATGTTTAGTGTTTTTTTTTTGAGAATTTGTTCATTTTTAATTAATTATGTTTGGAATTTTATTTTATGTTATTAGTTTTGTTTATCAGAATTTTACTTTGTAGTTAGTGTTTATTTTTATTTTAATTAATGATTATTTAAGTGTATAGAGGACTGTGGGTACAAAATTCAAAATAATTGAACGTATTAAAAGTGAGTTATGGCTTCATACCTAAAAAGACAGTTCTAGCGGAAAAGCTGTTTGTAATGTATGCGAGGAGAAAATATGGAACAAATTCACCACTTTAACTTTAAAAAGTACTTGAAGCGGAAATATATTTAAATATTTTCATCAGTGTTTTAGTACCAATCTTCAGCGTGTGATGGTTGATTTTGATAAGAAAAAAAAATAGTTTTGAACAAAAGAAAAAAAAATCAGATTTGTTAGATTTATGCATAGATAGCTTTCATCCGTTTTCCCACCAAACTCGTGGGTTCTGGCCACCGGTTCGGCGTCAGATGAAGCTTTAATATTCTCGGGACTGAAAGCAAAAACATCAGTTAATACAAGATACAAGCCGTTTTCCCTAGTAGAAGAAAGGGCTTGCAATTTAACATACTTATGTATGTGTCACATTAACTAGTTGACGAATTTAACTAGTTGATCAACTAGTTGACGAACATGAATACACAACGTTAACGTTAAGTTGAAGAAAATACCTTCAACGACCCATCGCTACTGTCAAGTCAAATACAAGATGAAGAATTTTTTGACTGACAGGCCAGGACAGCAGTATACTACTCTGTGGCTCACAATAGGGATAGTGAATAATCTTTAATGACACTATTCGATTATCGATTATTATTTATAATCAAATGAAATCGATAACATCAAGTTACGCTCTATGGAATATAATACAGATGAAACTTTTTTTTATTGTACTAAATGAATAATTTATTAATAAGAATTTTGGCTCATTCAGAAGATAACCCACATTGAAACATGGACTAGAAAAATAACAGGATTCCTTACTACGCATGTGATATGGTAGGCTATTCTGATGACCTGGCACTACTAGGATAAAATCAAAAACAAATCCAAATAAGAGCTTGGAAGCATGGCGGAAATCCAAGGTGGACGGAGAAAAGACTGGTCTCAGAATTAACTTCGACAAAACTGCATATTTATATAGGTTAAACTCTACAACAATACCAAATCTTGTTGTTGGTCAGGTCACCTATAAAAGCGTTAAGCAGTTTAAATACCTAGGTACTACCGTTACTGCAACCAACCAAAGAGAAGACGAAGTAAATATCCGCACACAATACGCCCTAAAATGCACAGCAGTCCTGCATAAACACTTAGTGTCAAAGCTCAGTAGCAGGAAAACTCAGATGACGAATCTCAGATGAACACGTATCTTAGTTTTCTCGAGGACGGTGATCAGACTTGTAGTAATGTATGGCTGTGAAGCTTGGACACTGACATTAAAGGAAGAGCAGTAGCTCTTAGTGGCGGAGCGCAAGAACATGCGGAAAATTCTGGGACCAGAGGAAGTGACAAGGATGGCAATTGGAGAATAAGGAAAATAGGGAAATTGAACATTTTCCGCACATGTCCGCACCCAACATTTTCGGCGAAACGAAAGCTGCGAGACTGCGTAGGCTCGGCCATTTGGCGAGGATGGGGGAGGATCGTGCCGTCAAGAGACCATATATGGGGCAACCAAAAGGTAAGCGTCCTGTTGGTCGCCCCAGATATCGCTGGAAAGATGAAGTCCAGAACGATCTGAGAGCTCTCCAATCAGCCAATTGGCAAGAAACAGTCGAGAACAGAGAGCAGTGGCGTCTTTTCGTGTCAGAGGCCAAGTGTCCTGTTTGGGTCGCTGAGCCAGGGAAGTAGGTAAATGTGTGAAACTAGTTTTTATATGAAATGTATCAAGATATATTCGAATTTATCGGATATCGATTTATCGCGATTAAAAACATCGACAGTATATACATATATATATCGATATTTCGCATCAGAACTCGAGTTGACTCGCATCGAAGTCTCCGGTAGGGAAAGAGGGGGGAGGGGGGAGGGGGGAGGGACAACTCGGAGAGCACGAGTCGACTCGAGGCTAATTAGATAGGAAGTAATAATAATGTTGAATCGTGATGATTAGGCATGAGATATACCTGCAACATTCTATACCCGGCCTCAAAGGTACGGGTATCGCCGTATACCCGGTGCTAAAACCCAGTATCAAAATACCTGTAGGTAATTCAAAGACAAAATTTACAATCAATTGGCACTAATGTACAATTTATTTCGAAAATCAATCAACAAAGGTGTATATTATTCCAGCGCAGATCTCAACATCGTGTTTAAGAAAATACGACAAAAAATAACCGCCATCTATCGCCTCAAAGTCGTACTTATAAAATGTAATTGTACATAGTCGATTGCTTATCGAAAATAAAGTTAAAAAAAGTTTCTGTTTTTATAGCAAAGAATTCCCACGCAACACTTCTGTTATTTGACGTCGTTACAAACAAAACAAAACAGATCACTAACAAATAAAAAATGTCAGTTCGCACGCGGATCGCCAACGGCTAACTAAGTAACTAATAAAATCAAATAACAAAATGTCAATCAAAAAACAAAATAAACTTTTAAAGCGGTTTTTCATTAGCGCAATTCCGTTTCCGATCCTGGCCGAACGAGCCCGACTCAACTCGAGCTGATGCGAGTTGCAACGCCTAACGAACCGCGCGCGCGATCCGCGTGTGTAACTCGGAACAACTCGTGAGGCCCCCGCGTATAACGTTCGGACGACCGAGTTGATTCGAGTTGCTTAAAACTGAACTCGAGTTGGCTCGTTTAAGGTTTGACTCGAGTTACTCGAATCAAATAACTCGAGTCGCACCTCGCTAATGATATTCTCAATCTCAATGTTAAACATAAATATTGAGTTTGAAAATTGAAACATTGAATTGAATGTTTCAATTCTCAAACACAGTGCACATGGTGCACTATATTTGTAGTTGTACATATGATATGTATATGTTCTACCTAACAGAGTCACAACACAATCACATAATCTTTGACATAGATAAGACATATATACTGGTTTGGTACTGGTCTTTGATTAAAATATACTTTCAAGGTCAGTGATAACGTTTGAAGAAGATGTGGTTATCTGAGTATTATTAATTTTATTCTTAGTTTCTTAGGTCGTTTGTGTATTAAGAAGTTTACAGTTAATATTATTTTTGTGTTTTGTATTTTTATATTTTTGTTGGGTTATTTGAAAATGGTGGATAAAATTCCTACATTACAATTAAGTAGTGGTTTCCAAATACCTGTAATTGGTTTTGGAACATACGCTGTAAGTAATTAACTGTTTTCTTTGTTTTTCAATAATTTACATCGTATAAACAAAAGATAGTCACAAAAATTGAAATGCTAAAGTTTAAAAATTTTGTGTTTCCTTTGTTTATTGATTACCTAAGCGCAAAACGGAAGTGGGAACATGTCAACAAGCCGTGGAATGGGCTTTGGACGCCGGCTACAGGCACATAGACACTGCTTCCTGTTATGGCAACGAGCAAGAAATTGGAGAAGCAATAGAAAATAAAATTGGGCAGGGCACAGTTAAAAGAGAGGACCTATTTATTACCACTAAGGTTTGTTTAACATTGACCTTCGTAAAGTAACTTCCATCTAAAACTTACAAATTTCCTTTTTTATTGGTATTACAGTAACAATTTGGAAATAGTGTTTTAATTTTTTGTTATATAAATATGCATTGCACATAGTTTGTTGTTTCTTAAACCCACATAAATATAATTAACATTAGGCAAGAATGAGCTTCAAAAATTCATTGTCCTATTTTGCTTTAAAATATGAATAGAATAAGACTTTTCAAGTTTCATTTTTGCATATAATTGTTTTAACAAAGGTACTGATATAAAACAATTATCTATTAATCTTCTAAATATTTTTCCAAGCAGGAATGAAACATTTATGACTTGTGCCTTCAAAGATAAGAGTAAGATATAAGCCATGACATCTATAGTCTATAATGGATAATAGAGATTCTTTGTTTTTGTTATTTTTTGATAACAATATTTCAGTGCATTGATTTTGTTTTCAGCTATGGAATGACAAACATGCAGAAAAAGATGTTATACCAGCTCTCAAAGAGTCACTTGAAAGGCTTAAGTTAGATTACGTTGATCTATATCTCATTCATTGGCCAGTGTCGATTTCTGTAAGTATTGCAGTTAATTAAAAAAAATGTATTTTTAATGTTATCTATTTTTTTATATCATTTAATGAGATCTAATTTTAATGATTAACATCACCAATGGGATTTAAACTCTGCTTGAGTACATTAAATTAACAGCAAGTATACAGACACTGGGCTATTGTGGTTCATTCACAAAATTGAAGTTGTATAATTTATGTTAACGAAACTGTTTTCCGAATTGTATAGTGAGAAGTTCTGTGATAGTTCATGCTTTATTTCAATAAAAGTAAGTACTAAGTGGAAATCTGCATGTATATCCATACTCCAGTACTTCATATTATAAGTGCGATAGTGTATTTTTTTAACAACTATCTGTGGGTCGCACAAATAGTTGTCCCGTGTGGGAATCGAACCCACGGCCCCCGACGCCGACCTTGGCAATTGCTCCACGGAGTCATCAAATTTATACAGCGTGTCGTTACCATTGCGACAATAAATGAACACACGTCTAACGCTACTTGCCAATAATCATAAAGAAATATTAACGTTAAACAAAATCTATAATAAAAAAAAATATTTTTCAAACAAATTAATTAAGTAAAAAGGAAACGAAATTTGTAACATCCTATACAACTCGCGCCACAGCGTCGTATTACAAGCCTCTCCTTCTAACAGTATGTTTTGTCTCTTTTAAATTCATTCAACCCATTCATATGCTTTGTGACCTTGACAAATGAACTTTACGTTACGCTTTTATAGGTAAGGGTGTTCTAAAATTAAGATTAAATTTTTGTGTGAGTGTTGAGATACTTAGGCCCTGGAGAGTGACATAGGCTACTTTTTATTGCAGTAAAACATTCCTATAGGAAGATCCATTATGATTCGTATATGAATCGCTCCATGCTTAATGTAACAATTTTATTTGTCCTTCTTTAACTTCGTATAGTTATAGTTGGGCATCTATACTCATATTATCAATGCGAAAGTGTGTTTGTTTGTTCTTCTTTCACGTCGCAGAGCGATGTTATGGTATGATTATTGTGTGTGGAGAATTACCGTTAGTTTCTATGTCTAGTTCGATTGGGCAATTCTAGCACTTAAAACGATATTGTAAACAAAATAAATTCAGACTTATTGAGTGCAGGAGATACGACAGATTCAGAGTATCTGTCAGTAGTTACAGTTATGAACACAGCACTTTATATTCAGTAGTTTCTAAATTCACTTGAGCTGTCCGGTGTACCCCGACATAAGTTGCATTTATAGTTAGGCGTCCCATTCATGCATTTGCAAAATCCATATAATATCGTCTTCAGTAGCGTATTAAAATAGTGCTCTGTTCTGTATCACAATGTGTGTATGGCTGGAAAAAAAAACGCCCATTTGAAAAAAATCACACTTATATACGGTCTCCATCAAAATTGGCTGTAGACGCAGGGAGGATTCGCCAGTTGTTCACCGGCACATTTCTATGGAGGTTAGAAGTACAACTTGATACTAATAAGTTAGAAGCAAGTTAGAAGAACATTTTGTTCACCAATCCGCAGTGGGGTTGTGTGGTAGAATATACCTAATACGCTCTGTATCGAGGCGGCCTTTGCCCAGCAGTGGGACATGTATATGCTGTTACTTTTACTTGCATAGCGGGAAATTTGTTTGTAAAATTCCCGATGCGTCCAATATTATGCAGTTTCCCCAACGATGTAACAGGCTGAGTTGTCCTACGTTCTAATGTTAACGCAATTTCGAAACCGAAATTAAGGCCTAAACAACACTGGCTAAAACTGAAACTTCGATCGGAAAATATTTATTATACAGCCAATATGATAATGTTTTCATTATAAAAGTGGTAACGTTCATGATGTCACGTTGTGTATAATCAAAGTATCGGTGCAATGCGTGATGTTTCATTTATAAATAGTAAGTGTGTGTCTTTTCCAGTTCATTATGCAATTGCCAAACAATTAGGTAGCAAATACGCCGGGCGATTCACCTGATGTTAAATGATAACCGCCGCTCATTGACATTTGCAACACCCGTAGTGTTGCAGATGCGTTGCTACCTTTAAATAAAGTAGGCCACGTTACTCACCAGGTTAAACGCAGAAGATTAATCCTTCTACTTCAAGTGTTCTTCGGTGTTCTGTGAGGTCGTGGTACTTACCTACCTGGACGGACCTGCCAGCTTTTTTTTTCTTTTTTTTTTAATCGTTGCTCTTACTTTAGGATAACACTATCCTGTGTTGCAAGGACGATTTACATACATAAATTTCCCGTGGACAAACACCCAGATGCGAAACAACTATCTGTGGGTCACACAAATAGTTGTCCCGTGTGGGAATCGAACCCACGACCCTCAACGCCGAAGCCAATACCTTGGCGACTGCGCCACGGAGTCATCAGTTAAATGTTGAACTATCAAATATATTATTTATCTAGGCCACGGGTCAAGATGAGGGCATTGACTACACGGAAACATGGCGAGGAATGGAGAAAGCAGTTGAACTTGGTCTTGCTCGTTCCATTGGCGTGTCAAACTTTAATGAGCAGCAATTGGGGCGTTTGCTGGAATACGCGGAAATAAAACCGGCCGTCAACCAATTTGAGGTTAGTTTAGTTACACTTTATTGATGTATATTTTATACCACAGATATGTTCACGCGATCCCAAGTGAAACCACAAAAACGTCCCAATTGGGACGTCTTGTCTATAGTTCACGTTAGGCAGGGCGGTAACACGCGTCAAAAATTTTACAACAGTAAAAACGCCGTCGTTTGTCTTTAAAAGATGTAATAACTACAACTAGAAGTTAACGTATATCTTCGATTTATTAGTATGTTTCAATTATTTTCCTAATATGTATTTTAATTTGTGTAGGTTAAAAATCAAAGAAAGAGGCAGCAAAAAAATTAAATATGGGGACTAGAAAGACGGATGCACCTCCGAACATAGATTAACAAGTCCAGATACAAATTTAGTAGGCTTTAATCTTATCGTTAATCCATAGTTCAGTTATCCTTTTTCAGTCTTTTAAAAAAAATAACGTGAACTTGTTTTATGTATTAATTGAGATAGTTAAGAAAGGCATACATTCTGATGTTCACTATGCAATCGATACATCCCTATTGAAAGTTCTAAAGTACTTTGTATATATTACAACAAACGATCACATAAAACAATTTACATTCTTCTCCTTTCAGATAAACCCCACTTTCACGGCAGTGGATTGGGTGAACTATTGTAAGGAAAAGTCCGTATTGCCCGTGGCTTACACACCGCTTGGTCTCATCTCGGAAGCCCGTCCCGAATTTAAAGGCAAGGACGTAATAAAGACCGATCCGAAGCTGGGGGAGATCGCCAAGAAATACGGCAAGTCGCGCGCACAAATCGCCCTACGTTATCTGGTTAGTGTTGCCAACTGTTGTACAGTAAAGACGAAAAATGTCGTTTATTTATCGAATTAATTGGGTAATTACATTGTTATAGCATCAAGGAATAAAGTTTATTATTGTAAGCTGAGATTATCAGTATCAGTAATTATTTATCTGATTGTTTAGGTTTATTTGCTGTACATTTTTATACATAGCAAGGTGACCCGCAAATCATTAAGGAAACCGATCCTATTTTTGAAAATGATTAATTAATTATTTACGAAGTTTTTTTTTAACAAATAATGAATAAGAATTGAGTCGAACCAGGAATCACCGACGTACTTGATAAAGGTGTGAATTTTCGTACTGAAAATAACAATTTTTCATTATTGTTTTCTATAAAAAGTAAACTTTCGCTTAATTATTATTTTAAAAGTGATGTTTCTCTATCAAATAGTTTTTAGTGAATAAAATATGCCATAACAATGTAAATAATTGTCTTAAATTGGTACGGCAACTGAGAAACCACCACTAGTTAATTGTCTGTTGTCGAGCAGTTCAATTAAAATAGACCGAGTCGCAGTTTAATAGGATTGTTTTTAATTTTTTGTATTGTAACCAATTTATTACAGATGACAAATGGAAAACTATATATTTCGCAATGTCAATTTCCAGATCCAACGCGGCATACCCGTCTTGCCGAAATCGTTTACAAAATCGAGAATCGAGGAGAACCTGAAATTGTTTGATTTCGAGTTGGAAGATAAGGAAATGGACGTGGTGGCGGGTTACAACATCAACCATAGATGTATTCCAGGCCTCATATATAAGAATTGTAAAAACTTTCCGTTTTAAAGTCAATTCCTATTTGAGTTGTATATTTATCGAGATGTTTACAAATTAAAATATATTTGATTATTGTGATATTATATTGGCAAATAAAAATATAAAGTAGTCGTTGGAAGCATAAGATATCGGGTCTTTTATGGTGCCTTGTGATACTTACGTTAAATGTAACAATATATCTTTCACATTGACGATAGTAATATTTATTTCAATTTCCTCTAAAACTACGTCAACCTTCTTTTATAATTAATTTTATTTTCCGCGCTGGTTTCTAGAGGTGATCTTAGAATGTGAGCTTTAGGGATGCCGAAAGTGAAAAAATATATCTATATTTCTAAAAATATGAATATCGGATTATATATCTATATAATATAAATATATATCAAAGAGAAAATATCGATATTTTCTTTGTAGACCCTGTTGTTCAAGAAAAAAACGTACTGTATGCCAAGTATCTTGTATCTTGTATTAACTGATGTTTGTGCTTTCAGTCCAGAGACTATTAAAGCTTCATCTGACGCAGAACCGGTGGGCTAGCCAGAACCCACGGGTTTGGGCCCTCCGCTGTGGGTAGGGCCGCGCATGTGCTCATGCGTGCGTTTAACTACGGCATGTCATCTAAGGGCCATCGAAGTAGCGGTGCGGACCGAGACCCCGATGGCCGTCGACTGTGTTTTTAGCTAATCGGTGGCTGGGGGCGGTGAGAACCGCCCTGGAACGCGGGTGTACGCGTTGTGTTGGTCTCGCCGTGCTCGGAGGCGAGGGCGAACTAATGTGTTTGTTGCTACACTAACTGTGTGTGACTGTAAGTCCCCTTCCTCGACCAGGTCGATGAGGACGTTTCGCGGGCGACGCTTGTTGACGCTCGCGTTTAGATCGGGTTGGTAATTTGCTGCGCTTACCACCAGAGGGTTGGGATGATGTTCGGCTCTATCGAAGAACCGTTTGGTCAGGTCTTTGAAAAATTCGCGAATCATCGGGAGTCTGCAATCACTGTGCAGGTCGACGTTGCGTTGATACCACTGCGCACCGGTTGCGCGGCGGATGAACTTATTTTGCACTACTTGCAACTTGTGCAAGCGAGTAGGGTGCGTGTGGGCGAAAATCATGCATGCGTAGGACATGATTGGCCGTACGCAAGCTTTGTATAAAAGTAATTTGTGTCTTAAGGACATTTTACTTGACTGGTTAGTTAAAGTGCTTAGCCGGCCGGAGACGAACGCGGCTCTGTTACGGACGTTATTAATATGCGCTGTGAATGACATACGCGAGTCGAAAGTGACTCCTAAATATTTTACCTTTTCTCCCAGGGGAGCGGTTGGCCATAAAGAGATATTTGCCTTAGCTTTCTGCATTGGCGACGACCTTTATAAAGATGTGACGGGTAAGTACTTCGTGTGAAGTGAATCGCCACACTCTTTTCGGGATTTACTTCAATTCTCCATTTGCGGAACCAATCGCCGAGGCGGTTGGCGGCGCTTTGGAGTCGAGTGGTTAGTTGACTAAGGTTGCGGTCTGAATAAAAGAGCGCCGTGTCATCCGCGAAAAGCGCGAGATTGACGTGGGGGTCTTTTGGTATATCGCTCGTGTAGAGCGTAAAAAGTAAGGGTGAGAGGCAGGAGCCTTGTGGAACGCCAGCCGTGAGGCGGCGGCTAGTGGATAGGGCGCCTTCAACTCGATATCGAAAGGAACGGTTCGACAAGAAGGCCTGAATGGTGTGTACAAGCCTGTCTGGCACTTTGAGTGAGAACAGCTTGTAAAGCAAGCCGTTGTGCCAGACTTTGTCGAATGCCTTTGCGACCATCGAAGAAAAGAGCCCCCGTGCTAATATGTTTAGGGTGATTTAGGCCTTTTAGGATATGTTCCGTTAGGCGGTATAATTGATCGGGACAGGAATGTCTTGCTCGAAAGCCGAATTGTTCCGCCGGTAGAAGGCCGTTGGAAAACACGTGGTCTTTGAGCCTGTTTAATAGAAGCCGCTCGTAAAGCTTCCCCAGGCAACTAAGGAGGCTGATGGGACGATAACTAGAGGGCTGATTGACTGGTTTATTCGGCTTGCGAATGCCGATAACCGTGGCTTCTTTCCAGTCGTCCGGAAAGGAACAACTGGAGAGTAAAGTGTTGTAAATGGTCGCCAGTAAACAGATAAGTGGGCCAGGGAGAGCTTTAAGGATTTTATTACTAATATTGTCTGGGCCCGGGGCGGATTTGGGTTTTAAATTTTTGATAATATCTTGGACCTCTTCGGGGGTCACTGAGTTTAATGGATCGCCTTCCGGTGGAAGCGCAGCCCTAGTTTCGATAACGCGGTCCACCTCCGTTAAGTGGGCTGTGTCGATGTGTTCGCGCGATGGCGTACATTGCTGCTCTAGGTTGTCCGCAAGGCATTCGGCTTTTTCGGAGTCATCTAGGGCTAATGAAGTGCTATTAGGCATTGCTAACGGCGGTAGGGATTCGCGGGGCTCTGCTTTCAGACTGCGGGCCAACCGCCAGTAGGCGGTGTGCGATGGCTCGATGTCCTCTAGGAGATTGTCCCACGTTGTATGTCGGTGTTCCGATACACGATCTTTCACTTCTAGCTGAAGGCGTCGAAGTAGGGTTCGGTTCGATTCCGATCGGTATCGGTCGAAGGCGCGTTTGGCTGCATTTTTCTGTCTAATTAGCAGTCTTAGGTCGGGCGGAAAGTTAAACCGTCGGTCGCCCGACAGTTTCACCGTCCGTTCCGAGTCTGTGACTGCGGAAGTAATGGTTTCTCGGAGACTTGCTATCGCTCGATTTGCGTCATCGAACGTAGCTATCGTCTCGGGTAAGTCTACTAAGTCCTGGGGGTCCAAGGCCTTGAGTTTGACCTCAAGGCGATGCCAGTCCACTACGGTTTTGGTCGGAGGGACCGCGCCGGCGTTCTGGCCCAGTTTGCACAGGACCGGCCTGTGGTCTGATTCTAATTCTTGGATTGTCTCTATCGACACGATGTCGAGGGAGACCTCCTTGAACAACATGATATCAAGAATACTCGGTGTCGAATGCTGGTAATCGTCCACCGTAGGATATCTTGTGGGAGTCACAGGAGCGATTATGCTATAATTTAAATCGTCAGATAAGTTAAAGAGCTGCCTACCGTTGTTGTTAGCGTAGGTTTGGGGGTCCCATGAGCCGTGTTTGCAGTTTAGATCTCCTGCAATTATCACGGAAGGGCCTAAGTTAAGTAGCGTTTCTAAATCGCTTTGTAGAAGAGTTTTATTCCCCGAGAGGTAGGCTGAAACTAGTACAAGCGGCCTGTGGCCGGTGAGCGCTAACCTACACGCGGATGCCTCTATATGTCTTAGCTCTGGGATATCGAGCGGGCTACAGTGCAAGGACCGTTTATAATATATTAAGGTACCTCCCAGACGGTTTGCTAACCGGTCGTGGCGGACTATATTATAATTTGCGATTTTTGGATCGCGTCTGCTAGGTTTCAAGAAGGTCTCTTGCACTAGAAATATATCGACGTTATAATCGCGAAGGAATTCTGCGATTTCGTCCCTTTGGCCCCTAATGCCGTTTGCGTTAAAATACGAAACAACCAGAGCCCGAGGTTTTAATCTACCTGCGGTTGTACTTTCCATTTTAGTTTTAGTAGCGGTTCTAGGTAACGACGCGGCGAAGCGCGGTTTTATTGCCCGGACTATAAACCTTTATGGTTGATTTGTAAACACCCAAAGGGCGTCTACAAGTTTTTTGTGCTCGTTGAGCGCATTAAGTCGATCGGTGCCACATGTGGCGGCCGATAACTTTGTAGATAGGACGGCGAGCTCTTCCCGGTTTATGCGTTCCAGGAAGCTGCAGATGTTTGCCATTTGGGCAAAAGGGTCGTCTTGGTTCGCGGAAACGACCGGTGTAATAAAATGCACCTGCGGCCTCGGTGCTTGTTGTTTGACAGGCTGCGGTAGGAATGTCGTCGGTCGTGAGGCGACCGGAGGCGCGGCTACCGGCGCGACTGCCTGAGGTTTCGCCCAGGCGTTTACGACGGGTGCGGGCGCGGGAATGTACTTCGCCGGCGCGGATTTCGGGGCCGCGATTTTCGCGAGCGTAATTTTTGCGGGTGCTTTCCTCGCGGGGGTTTTTGGAGCTTTAGCGCAGCCCCTGTAGCTAGCCGGGTGGCCGGTAGTCAAACAATTTACGCAGTCCGGTGGATCTGCGCAATCTTTAGGACGCGTGCAATCTGTCGTGCCGTGGTCACCGATGCATTTGACGCACCTAGGGTGAGCAAAACAGTTGCGGGCTGTGTGGCCATAGTGTTGGCAGTTATGACACTGCGCAACAACGCCTGACTTCCGTGGAGGCTCAACGACGAGTTCGCTAAGCCCACAGAGCCTCTTCAAATTAAAAATTGCCTTACCTTCCGGGGTAGGGTCCAACTCCACCATTACAATGTCCATCGGGACACGGGTTCTGGGGTGACGTAGGCGACGAACGGCGTGCACCGGGTATCCCTGAGTGCGGATGTCGATTTTTACATTGTCGACATCCGACTCTTTCGGGATTCCCTTTATGACTACCCGAAGTTTGCGTTCTTCAGGCAGCGAGTAGGTATGGAAACCTACTTTGTTTTCGCGTAAATATTTAGTGACGCGGCGGAAGTCATCGATGCTATCGAGGTATACACGGATACCTTGATGGGTGTTCTTCGACCGGGGGTCTCGAATATTGTGGCGTTCGAACCATACGCAAATTTGATGCCATTTAGCTTTCTCCTGGATGATGATAGGCGGAGGAGGCTTGGCTTTTCTTTCGGCGGCGTATTCGGGTGCCGGTTGGACTGCCGCGGCCGCCTTTTTGGCGGGCGTCGCAGTGGATCTATTAATTGAGGTGGCGGCCTCGCTTTCGGGGTCGCTATCTACAGCGGGGCGTTTCTTGCCCTTCTTTTTTCGTCCAGTGACGACGGTGAAGCCGTCGTCATTGGGTTTACCGGCGGGAGTTAAATCTACCTCCATATCCGATCCGCCGTCCGAGTATGAGTCGAGTACGACGGTGCACAAGGAGGCCGGGGTAGCTTGCGAGGAAGGCGCGACGGGCGTGTTCGCAGCGGCGGATGTCGACGCGACGGGCGCTTCTTGCGTCGCGGAAGGCAACGGGGTTACGGACGCAGAGGGCGCTGGAGATGGCGGCGATGCGATTGCCGGTAAGGCGGGCTGTCGTTGGCGTATTCAACGACTAATCGTTGTTCGGATTCGAACGCTAGGTAGCTTTCCCAAATGTCGGGACAGCGTTGTCGGACGAACTCCTCGAAAAGGGAGCCCATCGTAAAGTATGTGCCTTTGGGGCTTAGGCCCCGCCGGCGTGTGTAAACTTAATAAGCCTCCCCACCTTGCGGCAGGGAGGAGTGTGCCTAAAAATAACACTTAATTCGCCTGCGCTTTAGGTGCGCTAGGGTGAGTACCTAGCTGTCGCCCAATGCAACAAGCACACAGTTAAAAATTAGGCAATGCCGCCTCTGAGGCGAGAAATGTGTGTAGAATTCTACTTACGGACAGGAACCTGCCTACGAGCACAACACTACACTAACACTAAACTATTGCACTACTTGCACAAATATTTAAATTGCAACCAAAGTTGCGAGTAGCGTCTAATTCGGGTGGCATGTGCCCTCCGTCTTAGAGAGACGTCCTTTCCGTACGAGAGCACGAAGCGGAATGTGTGTATGCCAAGTATTCAATATTTAAATGTACGGACTCTGTCCCGAATTCGAATTTGAAAAAAATGTCGTTTTTGATACGATTTCGATATTGAATGTTTTATGTCTATATATCGGATAAAATATCGATATTTCTTAGGCATACCTAGTGAGCTTTAAGTAGTACCTTGAGCGCGTTACCCTGAAAACGCAGGTTCCAATCCCGCATTGCCGAAAATATTGTAAATTTATCTTTCTTTTTAATGTGAAAAATTGCCACGCGAGCAGACAGTTTACCTGATGTTAAGTGAATACCGCCGCCCATGGACATCTGCTACACCCGAGGGTTGCAGATGCGTTGACAACCTTTTGAAAATTGGGCTAATCTACAAAAAGTCACATTTTATGCGGACTTTTTTATTTTCACTCGCTATCTTTATTTTATTTCACCTACTAGTAAGCGGTCATAAAATATGTCCCCAAGTAAAAACTGATAATTCAAACCATTTGGAACACCTGTCTTCTGAGCTACCTTACGCATGGTTAAACCTAGTATCCGGCTACTTCATAAGTCCTTCTTCATGTCTAAATGGCTTCAGAGGCGTACATTATATAAAATAGCAAACGCCGTTTTTTATGCACTATCAAAATATTATAGTTTATATAATTTATACAAACTGAATAACGTTGGACAATCCAGACCGTCGTGAAGCAGAAGTATTATACTTCAGTATTTCTTTAGTTGAGTGAGGTAAACGTGGACCACATTAAGAGGTGGCAACTTAGATAAGTTGCAGATGCAATCACATAAGGTGTACCGCCAGCTCGTTTGACACCTTACTATTGTTTGTTAGTCTTTCGTAATAAAACCCAAGTTTAATTGTTCGACAATTTTTATTAAATGAAAACAACATATAAATAATAATATGTAAACATCGAAAGCACAATAATTGTAAATAAATTCGAATAAAAGCATTGCATATTCGGAATAGAAGAGAGAAAAAAATGGAATGTAAGTTAAGATCTCTAATGCATTATCTGTTTTATTACTTAAATTTATTGATACATAATAATGTACATACATCATCACCTATTGTTCAATTACGCTTAAAGATAGTAGGAAACATTATCACAAAAAAAGATATAAAAACGGTAACTGTTTTGTTGCTTAAGTTAAGTTAAACTAAATAAATGCTTAGAGCTATGTCACAAAAGAGATCTTAACTAAAATCCGCCAGAATAGACACAAAACTGACATTAAATTATTATTCATCATTTATATTTTTTATTATATTATTAGTATATAAATTCCAGTCCCTCTGAAAAATTATATATACGTTTGTATATTATAAATATATGTAGAGCATTGTCGATTTGTAAGAAGACTGATTACATTTACATAACACGGAATGAAATAGCAAGATGTTAATACGATAACAAAAATTTATAGATTTTCTAAGATTAAACTCATAAATACACAGCCAGCGTAATATTTTTACATTCACCCTTTAAAAAAACTATTAATAATTTTATATTTTTAAAATTGCATATACAGCTGTTTAGTGACAGTAATAGAACAGGCCGCGATAAACGTAATGGTGGCTGAGAAGTGATCTGCAAGTGGAGCCTTGCGTAAGTACAGTCAAATGCAAATAATTAAAAAACAGCTCTACCAAACTAAATTGTTAGAAAATAAAGTATCAGTTTTGATAGCCTCAATTCGTTTTACTCTTATTTGTTTACTCACACTATAATAATGGCTGTCATATAATAATGACCAGACCACAATTACAACGTGCAGTAAGAATGGATCTGTTGAGGCGCGCTAAATGTGCAAAAAAACAAGGGCTGCTCACGCAGAAAATTAATATTCGCCAAACAATCACAATCCCAGACGCCATTAAGTTAGTTGCGACCTTTAACGGCACAACTTTTGAAAGAGGAAATATTAAAGTGGAAGGAGCATCAAATTGGAAGAACTCTGGTACGTTTTGGCACCGTCTTAAAACCGGCATTGTTATTTTTGAACTTGTATACATCACGTTGTGTATTTAATTTTCATCATTTGTTTTGTTAGTTAAATGAAAAATTATCTTTTAAAATGTAGATATTAACTCCTATGCAGATCAATAATATATATTCAATGTGTTCTTGCCGTGATAACTACATAAAGGAATACTTTATATTCAAATAGAATTTTCAAAATCAACATTGTTATGGTCATACCAAAATAAAAAAAGTACAAAAGTAAATAATCAAAATACTCGTAATCACAAATAAAAATAAATTAACCCAAACTTACTTGCGCAAAAGTGCAATAACATGAATGATTCACTTCACAGAATAAAAAACAAAATTAAAAATATTCCGTCAATCCAATAAACATCTAGCAATGGCAAAACACAAAACTTACATATTGTAAGTGTCCTACAAAAATATATATATTCTGTCGATGTTATATAAAACTGCCCAAACCTATTTCACTTAAATTCTATGCGACAACAATGCTAGGTTTCAAACAGCTTACGCATACAGTTATTTGTACATCTAAATTAGGATCTATCCTAGTTCCATACAAAAGCTATATAAAAAAGGGGTATAGATTCGCAAATTATAAACGGACAGTGCATATTACAATAACTGCGACGACGAAATACGAATGATCGGTATAGTTTGACAGGTGTCAATGTAATGTCGGATACGTCAAAGCGAAAAATAAGGCGGGCTTAAGCTTTGAGCTGCCCCAATATTGGAACGATTATTACTGTCCATCGATAGAAATTGTTAAAGGCTACATAATTATATATTAAGACGCTCGCGCCCAATCCGACTGGATACATTTCGACTGTCCGTTCATAGCCCGCGAACGCCCTCTACCATGCAAGATCACTTCCACACGTAGTTGAACACGTCCATGATGCTGTCGTATATTGTGAAAGTGATCGCGACATCGAAAACGACGCGGCTGAGACGAGGGACGGTGCCCTTGTAGAAGGCGAGCGGACCCTCGTGTTTCCAGGTCTTTATGAAGCAGTCCCAAGTGCTTCTATACTTTTTCGCCTCCAAGCCCTGCATTCTGGTTTTGACGACGTCGATCGGCGTGTTGCCGAATACGGACGCCGCGCCTAGGGTCAATTCAATGTCAGCGAAATTGTTGCGAATATATTATACATAGTATAAAACAAAGTCGTCCCGCTGTCTGTCTGTTCCCACGTATGCTTAGATCTTTTAAACTACGCAACGGATCTTGATGCGGTTTTTTTTTACTAGATAGAGTGATTCAATAGGAAGGTTTATATGTATTATATGTTGTGCAAGAGCGAAGCCAAATATATAGCTCGTATTTGAATGAGGCATGGCTCACTATTAATAATACAAATGCAGAGAAATAACATATCTCCGTCAAAATACATTAACAAAGCAGCCAAGATTTCCACTTAAACAGTATGCCTTACTTAACTTGCTTAGCTCATACACGGCAACAGAAATACATCATATTGTGTGAAAATTTCAACTGTCTATCACGGTTAGACAGACAACAGACAGAGTCTGAGAGTAATAGTGTCCCGTTTTACCCTTTGGGTACGTAACCCTTAAAAATAATCTAAAAAAAAAAACATCATTTAAGTCGTATTAATCTATGCGAATAGAACAGATATCCGGCTCGTTATATCCAGATATGGTTATCCCACGAGATCTGCGTTCAATGAAGCATAAACAGTCTACGTAAGCAAAAATATCTTAAAATAATAATCGACTAGACATAATTGCTTTAATTGCCAAATCTGTCGCGTCTGACAATTCTCAGTCTTAACCACTTGAAGAACGAAGAAACCTATAAAAATACATCTAGGGGACTTTTCCTAATGTCCCATTGGTGGGAACATTTTGTTAAAGACGGTTTGATATTGACGTTTCCTGGGAATCAGATGCCGTTGTCCAACTTGTGCTTGATGGCTGCCTGTGGGGTTCAACAGTGGACTAAACCCTGTAACGATTATGTGGGTGTAAACCAACCTGCCACGCCGCCGAACAGCCCGACGATGTACTTGGGCACCGGCTTGTCGCGATCTCCGCCCTTGTACCAATCCCTCAGCGACTCCATCACGAAGAACCTGATCGCTTGATTGCTGCCCTGCTTCATTATCGTCGCGGTGACGCCCTTGTATACGCCGCCGACGCCTATGATAGAATCTATATATTAATACGTGAAGCGAAAACCTTGTACCTACCCCCCTTTTTACGAAAATTGCGCGGACGGAGGAGTATGAAATTTCCCACGCTTATAATTTATATTGAGAAGTGCAGAACGATATTTTTTTTACCGAACCAGACCGTACCAGAAAAATGTAATTTTTTTAATGTGTGTTCGCGGATAACTTCGTCGTTTATGAACCGATTTTCGGATCTGATGATGGCATCCTAGAGAAATCAAGGGCAATCCTCAAATGTTATAGTTATCAATAATGTTTTATAGTTTCCGGTTTGAAGTCGTTTTTTTTGTTGAAAATTATCCTTGTTTAATTAGGAATAAATAATACAGTAAATCAATAAAAGAGACATTACACGCACTACTATGTACTATTAATTGTTTGGACTTCGATCATTGGTCGAAAGCTAGTATGGTTAAATGTATAACTAGCTGGTTCCCGCGACTTCTTCTGCGCAGGATTAGTACCTCGAGTAGCTTATTTACTTCTCCAAGGTCCTATCTATCTTTATCCCAAAATTCATCAAAATTGGCTCAGGTTTTTTACAAATTTTAATGTTTTTATTAAATTACGTGCAGAGATTGGCACTATAAAATTTTAGTTTCATTAAGACCATATTGCGAGCTAAGTTTTAATACCATTTCGTTTCGGTGCAGTTCTAGTGTTAATTGTTACCAGTCGTCCCTCAATCTATGACCATCGGTTGGGGTTGCGAATTTTTGTTTTATAAACGCTTTAAGCTTATCAACACAATTATTTGACGGTATAAATGAATAACCATGACGCAACCGATGACGACGTTAGTATTTTTACAACAACAGTGTATAAATTTACGGAAAGCAAAGTGTTTACTTTTGAAATTTTCTCTTAAAGAAGTAAGGATTAAAAGTAATGGGGACATTCAAATGAGTTGATCAAGAAAACGTTTACTTAGTAAGTACAAGTAGATATCTACGACTTTGTCTGCGTTGCTTATTATATTAATAAACTAAACCACTTGCCCCACTTCTAAGCGGCAAGAAAACATTGCTTATGGAAATCGTTGTTTCATTAAACATTAATAAATTGACATTAATTGAAAGATATCGCAAGTTTTTGCAAAATATAAAATAGACGAGCCAATTGAAATCAATGAAGTTGTTTATTCGTGATGCGAGCACAACGGTAGATTTCTTTCATTTTATTTATATACATTGATCTTGCGGGAATCGTCTTGTAACTAACTAACCGTTATATAAATATTTAGATACTGTGGTAGGGCCACGCAACAGTTCGCTGTTCCATGAATGGGTACATCCGTCCGGGGAGGTACCACGATCCACAGAAGACCGTCCGAAAGTGGTGTTGTTATTCTTGTGCGTTTCGTTAGTGAGGCAGCGGGGGCCCACTTTATTAAAAGGTGTACGCATCTGTAAGCCTACTGGTTGTATCACTTAACATCAAGAGAAACGCACGCTCGCTTTCCATCTTCACAAATTAAAAACTTAAAATGATGAAAATTATTTAACAATTTATAACGTCAGTGATTGCTAACTCACCTTCCTCCCTCACGATCGTCCTTACGCCGTGGAAGAAGCCCTTGAAACGGGGCTTCTCGAGGCGCATGTCGTTTATGAATTTGACCTTGACTGTCTCCATTGGGGTCACGGCGAACACCGCCTCCGCGACGCCGGCCGCTAGACCGCACGCCAGTTTCCCCGTGGTGGTGAGCGTACCGTTGTCAGTCACCATGTACAGTTTCGCCTGCTCGAACACGCCGAATCTGCGGAGCACGTTGATGGATATCTCACGTGACTACGTGTACTACCAGACTAAAGAATTATCATCATTCAGTTATCATCAATTATCGTCGTTTCAGTCTGTTTTAGTATACAGACTGCCACAGGGCACGATCCTGAGCTACCTCCCGCCCATCGACTTTCTGCATCAACGAATTATGTTACCGTTTCTGTCAGAATTATCATTTTGATCAGAAAGCTGTTCTGCTGAAACTGACCAACATTGTTTTCAATCAGCCTTTTGCAGTCCATTGCTGAACATAAGCCTCCCAAAGGGCACAACACAGAGCACTATCTTCCGCTTTCCTCATCCAGCCACTACTAGCGACGTTTCTCAGGTCATCTGTCCACCTGGCAGGGGAACGTCCGACACTACGTTTTCCGAGACGTGGTCTCTATTTGAGAACCCGCCTGCTCCAACACTCATCGGTTCTGCGACAGATGTGGCAACTGCCACTTCGGCTTGCTACACTTACGGACTATATCGACCACTTTGGTCCTCTGCCGGATAATTTTATCCCTTAGCGAAAAACCGAGCATAGATCTTTCCATAGCTCGCTGAGCGACATGTAAACGGTGGGCCAGCCTCACCGCCGTGTTCCACGTCTCGGCCCCGTATGTCATGACTGGCAGGACTTACTGATTGTAGACCCTGCTTTTTAGACATTGTGGTAGTAGCGACGAGAAGATATAACGCAGATTTCCAAATGCTGCCCAGCCCAGCAGAACTCTTTTAGCGATTTCACACTCAAAGTTGTCTCTACCCAATTGCAATGTGTGCCCGAGGTTAACGCACTCTTGGACAACTTCGAGCGCTTCGCCGTTGATCGAAATTGGCTCTGGAATTATAAACTCGTTGAACGTGACCTTAGTCTTGTCCAAGTTCATCCTGAGACCGAACGATGCTTTGGAGCATGATTTTCAAATCCTGCATCGATTCTGCCATTAAAATGATGTCGTCGGCAAAGCGGAGGTGGCTGAGATATTCGCCATGGATGTTGATGCCCAATCCGTTCCAGTCCAAGGTTTTGAAAACATTCTCCAGTGCGTTGGAGAACAGTTTAGGAGGGATGACATCTCCCTGTCTCACTCCTCTGAGCAGCTGGATGGGTTTAGTCTTTTGCTTTTGTACTTGGACATCGTCGCCGTGCTGTACAGGCTTCTCAGCACCTCCACGTACCGCCAGTCGACTTGGCATCGCTGCAAGGATCCCAGAAAAGCCCAGGTTTCGATGGAGTCGAAGGCTTTTTCGTAGTTCACAAATGCTAGACACAGCGGCTGACTATACTCTTGTGACTTCTGTATAACCTATCTCACTCTGTGTATGTTGTCCACGGTGCTAAAAACTTTTCGTAACCCAGCTTGCTGCAGTGGCTGTAAGGCGTCAAATCTTGCGGCGAGATGGTTTGTGACGACTCGCGAAAACAGCTTGTAGATGTGGCTTAGGAGCGCGATTGTTCTCTAGTTCCTCAAAAGGGGGTTATTACCTTTTTTGAACAACAAACACAAACGGCAAAATTGTTTACATAATTTTATTCCTTGCATGAGGGTAGTTAAGAAAAAGATGTGAATCCCAGTTGTTCAATTTTATACAAATCTGCTGCGCTGCAGCCTAGCGGCAACTTTTGCCGTTGCAGCATTGTACCAGTGTACAACACTGGGTAATTTTATAATTTATATATATATATATATATATATATCATAGCTGACAAATACCACCTAGACCCTAGTCCAGCTTACGTCATGCTTAAATCCCTAAAATAGTTTCATTTAAGTCATACTATAAAATAAGCCTTTAATACCTAGTGGTATTGGCGTTTGATCTTGCGAAGCAATGTTAATAGTGACAGTTCAAATTTGTGGCGTGTATCAACGTTGATTCTTGGAGAATCACGTGGTACACGGCGACAAGGCTGATCTCTGTTCGATCGAGATCGATGTTAAAGGCAAAGCTATCTCTGTATACCTCTTTAGGATGAAACGTGAGAGTTCGCAAGCGATTAAATGACCTGAGCGTACATACGTTGTGCTAATTTAATCTGTGGTTGGCAGCCGTCAAATTGACTTAACGCGTAGAACGCGACCGAGACCGAGTGTTACACATTTTGTAAGCAGAACCGTACGAAGATATTTTGTGGCAACGAGTTCGAACCGTGCGTTGTTTTCGTATAATTATTCCTTGATATTTTATTTATTGACCTTCACGGGTGTGCGAAAGACAACACAAAACGCTTTGGGTAATTGGTTGGCAAAATAATTGGATACAATTCTTAGCTGCAAACGTCACACGTACATGGAGACCACTTCTTATGTTATGAACAAAATAAAAAATACGCTCAGGAGAAGATGACATTGACCAATCATTTTAATGCTTGGCTTTGGCTTTCAAGGGAAACCTGACAGCTATTTGATAAAAATCCTCTTTTCGAATCATTGAAAGTTTAAAAATCAATGAAATATTGTGGAACAAAATTTATAGTGTAAATAACATTACATTGAAACAGAGATATCGATTTATACCCACACATATTTAGATAATTTAGGCACTTCATATATTTTTCATAGCTTAAAAACTTGATGTCGTCACGACATGAGCATGACATTATCGCCATGATAACTAAGCACCTACAAACAGTTGTTTCTCTGCGTAAAATGACACGATTTGTGATAACTTTCAAGTGGTTTTACACTTATGAAACAGAAAGCAAATATTTGTTAATATCTACTGTGACCAACTAATATTGGTAAAAATTCCGAACAGTACGTCTCGTTTTTCAAGCTAGAAAAAAATTTTAATCGATAGAGAAACGTTAATAATTAAATATTACATACATGAAAACCAAGGCAAACACTTACTTTTAATTAAAAAAAAATATTTAAAACTTGTTATTTTCACTAAATAAATCCGCCATTTTGTGTTTGACAACATGTATAAATTTACGAATTCACACACTTTTCCAAATTATAACCTTCGCATTATTAAAAAAGAGTCTTTAAAAATACTAAAAGTACTGTTACACTAAAGTTTTCTGGGTGGTCATAAAAAAAGAACCTAACAACGAAGGCTAACCTTCTAACCTAACCTATCCGAGTCGGATCGCTCTGTGTCGGATCTGTGACTCATTTTGAACCTTATATTCGAGACATTAAATGTACACTAAGTCACAAATTTTAAATTTTAGAAATTGTTAATAATACATGTTCATGAAGAAGAAACTTGTGTTTTTGTGATATATTTGTGTATTTGTGTCTTCTTACAACGTAAAAAGTGAAAACGTAAGTTTTTAACTTAAAATAATAGTCTATAATGAATAATGGACGCACAGTAATGACGGATTTCAGTTGTATGGAATTTAAAAAGTTTGTTAATTTTTTCCTCATAATCTAGTGGTTTTCATTGATTATAACTTATATAATGCTTAGTTATTAACATTTCTCTATAGATTAAAATTTTTTTCTAGCTTGAAAAACGAGACGTACTATTCGGAATATTAGCCCTAATATTCATAAAAGTCATATGTTGAAGTGAGATTAGTATACGGATTGTGGACAAAATTCAAGAGGGGACGTTTGTTTTTTCAACAGACTTCAAAAAAGGATGAGGTTTTCATTTCAATTATGTTTTTTTGTGTTTGTTACCTGGGATTTATAACTTTATTCTACATCTATATATCTTTATGTGAGTGAGGTAGCCGGAGCCCAATTTCCAAAAAGGTTGTCAACGTATCTGCAGATGTCTATGGGCGACGGTATTCACTTAACATCAGGTGAACGGTCTGCTCGTTTGGAAACTTTTCACATAAAAAAAATATAAAAATTAATCCCTATTTCCCTTGGTCACGCCATCACGCGTGAACGGCTGGACCCATTTCACTTTTTTTTGTTGTGTTTGTTATTATCTGGAGAAGGTTCTTATGAAAGAAAAAAAAAATGCTTGAAAAAGTCTAAAACCAACACTATTCCATATTCCCGTACAATGAATTCCGGGAAGGCAAAACAAGTGAGTGACTGTGGTAAAAAGTCACTTGAAATGTAAACGTATCTTGTCTGTGCATCACTACATAGTATAAAACAAAGTAGTCCCGCTGTCTGTCTGTCCCTATGTATGCTTTGATCTTTAAAACTAAACAACGGATCTTGATGCGGTTTTTTACTAGTTAGAGTGATTCAAGAGGAAGGTTCATATGTATAATACATCCCCGTACGAAGCCGGAGAGGGTAGCTAGTAAAAAATAAATATTTCGAAGACACGTAGTCTGCCAATCAGTAGGGGTGGTCGCGTAGTGGATATACCCTAATAATCTATGCGCTATTAATTTATATTATAAGGAAAAGGCGTGTTTTCCTTACAATACATTAACGGAATGCATCGAGCAAATAGTATTGTATCGTAAATATATTTGTGTCACAGCCAAATACCGTCCAATAACGAAAATTATTAACGGATTTTAAGATAACGTTCTCAAAATGGTAGCTTCAGTGACTTGAGATATTTTTGAACATAGAAGAGTAAATTTTAGAGACCAAACCCAAACGTTCGCTATGTTACTGAATTATTAATGTTCTATGTATTTGCAAAACAATTGGACAAAGCGTTTTAATTTGAGGAGGATATTTGGAATATTACAATTTTGAACTTTATCCTTATGTTGCATAATATGTAGGAATAAGTTAACACTGTTACGAAAAATGTTACTTAAATAACAGTTGCTGTTTCACATAAAGTGTTCCTTAAAGCACGGTCACAAGCTTTTCTTCTTTCGTTCTTACGACTGTTACCTTAGTTAGAAAGAATTAAAAACATTTACACCATGTCACAGTTATTACTGAACAGTTTGTCACTGTCACCAGCTTGTTATTTTTCTTGCATTTGTCATATAGCTTTGTTAGAAAAAGAATTACAAGGACATGTAGCATGATATATTTTTTTACATTGGTTCGGACATCCAAAGTACACACATAAATATTTACGAAACAGCTATTA